AAGAAAAGAGTCTGCGGAAGGGCGGTTCCACTGGTCATCTTTTCTCTTTTCGTGCGTCTAAGTCCTTTGATGCATACGAGCTAGCAGCACGTAAGTTTATATACTTCTTCAGTTTTTTCATATTTGTGAGGTAGTATGTTAAATTTTTATCAAAATGAGAATGCTATTACGTGCAACCCTCGATTTTCGCCTTGATGAGTTGCTGGACGAAATTTCGTAAGCGGAGTCGGCGGAAATTGAAACTGTTTTATAATGTAAATGAATGGGACATCTATGACGTGCGTTCCCAGCACCCAGACATTGATGAGTAAAATAATGGCATTACGGTAAAGCTCTGAAATAACTTAATAAAATAAAAGTAATTTAAAAAATATATTTTACACACTTACAATCGGCAGTTCGTCGGTCACCGCGATTGACTGCGGTTCTTTCGTGCGATTGATGTGTACAGTCATCTCTGCTGTTATGCGATAGTTGCATTCATATAAGATGCCAACCAATTGAAAGTCGCGTAGTAAAAATAACGTCGGTACCTCCGCAGAGATTAAATTAGTCCTTTGAAAGTTTAAAGGGCCTGGAATGAAATTGCATATGAGCAAACTCGCATATGCAAAAGTTTCCATTTCAGAAACGGCTTTTTCTGATTCATTAATGTCATTGGAGCAAATTCGCGTTAATGAAACGAACGTAATTGTAGAGAGGACTGTATTTATAATTTTCATTCGAAATTAGCGATGTAAGAATTAAGATTTAGTAAAAGAATCAGTACGAGAGACATTGTAAAATGTTGTAAATAATAGTAAAATATATTTTCTTCACTTTTTGACTTTTTGGTTTCAAAATTGGCGTTCTTCTAAATCGGCGCAAATCGAGGTCTACCTGTGCATTAACTGTAACTTGCGTCTTATTTTTTCAGGATTTCCAAAAACCTGACCACCTGTTTTCTTGAATTTTGGGCATATCTCGATTTCAATTGATGCATACTTGCTGGTAGTAGGAGAACTTGTATCTAATTGTAGGTCTTTACTAATTGTCTGAATTGTACTTTAAATTATTATGAAA